GAGGAAGGAAGGTCGCCCATTAATTGGGTTCTGGCCTGGCGTTGGACGTGACGCAGGCTTACAGGAGCGAGCATTACTGACCTCACGACGTGACGAAGTCGAGGGATCCAGACGTCGCCCGGTAGAGGCGGATGACCAGCCGGTTCCCCACCATGTAGGGATACGTGATGGGTGTAATCGAACCAGCAGGCGAACCAGGAGGCATGCGGGTGGCAACAGGATTGGATGCCGCTCATTGTAGGTCATGGATGCCAAGGATCGGACCCGGCCACATGCCCGCATGACTCCGTTTCGGTCCAGGAACGGATTGAGGTTCTGAAGAGAGCTCGTAGTCGGAAGTGGCTGCTTGTTTACAAGACAGCGATGCTCCGCCGTATAATGGAAGCGTTGGGTCGTGATGGTGACAGCTTGAGAGCTAGCAACCTCTTTATTGTCTAGCTCTGTGGATACGTGGACTGGCGTTGCTTGCCCTCTGACGCGCAGGCCGAACCGCCGAACGTAGGCGATCACGCGCAGAGCGCGTCCGAATTCGGAAAATCGGCTGAGAATGTCCGAGGCTGTGTCAGTGGCGTGGTGAACCTTGACGGCTCGTTTCTCCAAGTCGGTCTCAAGGATTGAGCCTCGTGGACAAGGCCACTCCGACTGCGGACCACGCAGCCACGCAGGGCCATGCCACCACATGTCATTGCCGACCAGTTCAGTGGGTCCGAGCCCTCGACTGGCGAGGTCGGCCGGGTTGTCCTCGGATCGGACGTGGCTCCATCGTTCGCGGGGCCAACAGCGAGTGATTTTGGCGACTCGATTCCCTACAAAGGTGGTCCAATCACATGCCGGCCTGTTCAACCAGGCCAACACAATAGTGGAATCGGTCCAAAAGTACACCTGGCTGGCGTCGAGCGGCATTTGAGGAAGGATGGCCACGGAGAGTTCTGTCAGAAGGACAGCTCCGCACACTCGAGTCTAGGCAACGAGATTGTTTTCACGGGGGCAACGCGGGTTTTGGCTGTGAGAAGGGTACACACAATGCCCTGCGGACGCTCAACTCGGACGTAGATCGCTGCCCCATAGGCACGTTGAGACGCGTCGCAGAACCCATGAATCTGTACCTTGGCCATCGGACAGACGTGTAACCACCGCGGAATGCGGATCCCTTGGATGGCCGGAAAGCTGTTCAGGAATGTCTCCCAGGCTTGAGACAGATCGTTAGGAAGGACGTCATCCCATCCTAACTCTCTCAACCAAATCTCCTGCATAAATATTTTCGCTTGGACGACGAAGGGGGCAAGCCATCCCGCTGGATCAAAGAGCTGCGCGATCTGGGACAGCACATTGCGCTTCGTGCAGGATTGTCGCTCGTTTAAAGCGGGAGGCGAAAAGAAGAACTCGTCGGCACTGGCTTGCCATCGGATTCCCAACGTCTTAGCGATGCTACTCTCTTCCAGCTCTAGGAAGTCAGCGCGGAGTAAGTGGTCGACTGGAATGTCGCGCAGGACGCCCTTATGGTTAGCTGTCCACTTTCGGAGCGGAAACCCTGCAGAGTCGAGTGCTTCGCGTAGTTCAGCAATGGCGGAAATTGCCTGAGACTGAGAGTGAGCACCAGCGAGCACGTCGTCCACGTACATGTCGCTCTCCAGGATGACGCTTGCCATCGGCAGCTGTGGACGCACCTCTTGTGCGAGTTGCTTGAGGACGCGGAGGGCGAGGTACGGTGCGCAGTTGACTCCGAAAGTGACAGTGGTGAGCTCGTAGTCACACACGTCCCGTTACGGTCGCGAAACAGTATTCGCTGATAGGGCGTGTGTTGGGAAGCCACTTGGATTTGCCGATACATCTTGTTGATGTCGGCATTGAAAACGTAGCGAAAGACGCGCCACCTCAGGATTTGCATGGTCAAGTCAGACTGAAGGACTGGCCCAGCATGCAACGTGTCGTTGAGGCTTTTCCCGTTGGAAGACGGGCTGGAGGCGTTGAAGACTACGCGCAATTTGGTTGTGGTGCTGTCGGGTTTAAACACGGCGTGATGTGGCAGGTAGAAATGGCCGGAATCATGACTAGGTGTAACCGCTGTCATGTGGCCGAGCTCTAAATACTCCTGAATGACGGAGTCGTACTGCTTCTTGAGCGGCAAGTTCCGCTGCAGCCGCTGCTCGTTTCTAAGGAACTGGGCCTTGGCCGCGCTTCTGGAGTGGCCTAGCTCGACTTTTTCTGGACACTTGAAAGGGAGAGTAACCACGTATCTCCCATCGGGGGTTCGTTTAGTGGTCTGGAGGAAGTTTTCCTCGCACACTGAATCGGACTCGCTCGTCGGTCTCCCCGGAAGGTCCTCCACCTCCCAGAATTTGGTGAGAAGCTTCTCGAGTCGGACATCCGAATTAAACGAGAGCTTCGTGGTGAAGGCGGAAACCGTCCGAGCCGAGTCAGCTGATACCGGACCGGATAGGACCCATCCGAAGATGGTCTCTTGTCCCAGCAGCGAGCCACAAATGGCAGACTGGAAGCCGCTCAGCAGGATAGCAGGAAGGATGTCAGCGCCTAGAAGCACATCAATCTGCGAGCTTCGGTGGAAGGAAGGGTCTGCCAATTGGAGGTTTGGAAGGTTATCCAAGAAGTGCTGCGGTATCGGATATGAAGGAAGGTTGCCTGCTAATTGAGGCAGAACATATGCCGTGGTCTCGATCTTGAGGCCCGGCCTGGAGGCGGCCCCGATCATGAAGTGGCAACGCTTTTGCGCCTTAGCCGCTACGGTTTGGTTTAAACCCGCGACTTGAGCCTGGATAGCTTCGAACGGTGGCTTAATGATGTTAAAGAGGCGTTCAGTGATGAACGTCGCTTCGGAGCCTGAGTCGATCAGAGCGCGGGCACGGAAATTGGTCCCCAGGTGGCAAATATTAATGAGTGCTGTGCCCAGAAGAACGGTACTTGTGCTGGAAGAGAAATAGCTCTGTACGTTGGGCTGAGAATCGGACGCGCTGGGGGTTTGGGCGGATGTCGAAGCCGCCATGTTGGACGGAGGCGCGGAACGATGCAGAAGCGTGTGATGTCTGGCTCCACAAGTGGAACAATTGTGGCTGCTTGAGCAGTCGCGAAGCTGATGGCCTCTTGCGAAGCAATTTAGGCACAGCTGTCTTGTCTTGATGCACTTGGAACGTGCATCAGCGGACATGTTGAGAAAGCGCGGACATAGTCGGATCGGGTGATTCTCCTTGGAACAGAGATCACACGTCCTCTTCTTCGGACTCACTTGGTTCTTGAAAGAAAGAACCTTGTTCGGCACCGAACTGCCGTGCGACCGGAATGGATTGGATCGGCTGCAAGAAGTGGATGGATTCTGGCCGCCTTGGGAGGGTGGCGGATTCGTAGCCACTCGGGAAGTGGAAGGGTCGCTCTCAATAGCTTCGAGCGTCAAATAGCGCTGAGTGAGGAAGGAGTCGATTTCCTTCCAGGGCGGCACTTCCTTCTTGTCCGTCACGGACGCTTCCCATAAGGCGCGGCTTAGCTTCGGCAACTTTGAAGCGCAGATAGTTACCAGCAGACTATCCCAATTGTCCGTGCAAACGTTGGAGACCGCTAGCGCATTTAGGACTCCCTGCATCGTACTTTGAAGTTCCTTCAAAGCCCGACTGCATTCGGAAGTTACGCGGGGCAAGAAGAGGAGAATGTTAATTTGGTTGGTCACCAGAAGCCGATTGTTCTCATATCGGCTGCGGAGAGCCAACCAGGCGGACTCGAAACCGTCATTCGTGAGGGGGGACTTTTCTACAATGGCCTTTGGGTCGCCCCTGGTCTTCTCGGTGAGGTAGTATAACTTCTCTACCGGAGATAACTTTGGATTGTTTATCACGACCGCGGTGAACAGATCCCGGAAAGTGGGCCAGCGGACGTAGTCCCCTGCGAAAACCTCAATATTGACGGGAGGCAGTCGACAGCCGCCCTGTTGGACTGGATGTGCGGGAGGAAGGACTGCGGAGGGGGCCAGCTGGGCATTGAGGTCGCTGAGACACTGCTCAAACACCCCATAGCATTCGCCATATGTTTCCCGGATGTCCGCTTGGATTTCTGGATCCTCGTCAGCCATCACCGCGGAACAGGCCTTGTATTCGGCCTCGACGTCCGTCCACATGCTGAGGATTTGGCCTCGGCGGACCTCGGACAGAGAGGCGGATGGGGCGGAAGTGATACGCTCTGCCAGGTGGGAGAGTCGGCCAATGGCGGCTACCAATTTGGTCCGAGCGGCAGAGGTGGCGGATTGAGCCATTGTGGTGAAGTGGCGAGAGCTGACGGGACTAGTGATGCAGCCTTTCGGATCCTGTTTAGTCACCGATGGAACCTTAAGGGTCACCGGAGACGGGAATAGGACCGATTTGGTCCTTGTAGCAGGGCTGCTACTGGCTGCTCTCGGAGTGAGGGATGCCTTGATTGGCTGTGTCGGAGTAGTTCCGGAGGCGGACGAGGTGCGTAGCCGGTTGGACGAGGTCACAGGCAAAAGTTGTTTGCCGTCCTTGTGACCTGTTGGCATAATTTAAAAGGACCCACGCAAGAAAAAATCGGTTTTTTTGGACGTCCGTGAGGGACTGCAGACTGGTCTGAATAGAGTTGACTCGGAACCGTCAGGAAACACCCGTAACCCAAACACGGACTATCAGACAAAAGGCCTCAAGCTAGCTGGAAGGCAATAATCGGAACGACTCGGATTGTTTGAGGTCACCTGTAGGTGAGAAATCTCAAACAATGAGTGACCCTATATTGAGCCGAGCTGAGGAGAGGAACGGTCACACTGGAGTAGCAATATTTGGAAATATTGGCTGTCATGCTCCTCCGTTTACCCCTTGACGCAGTCGTGAGCGGAACTGGGTTACTATCGGATGGACGGAATCACTGGAAGCAGGCACGGACACCTCACAGAAACGGAACAACAATAACTTCTTTGTCAAAACAAAAAAAATATTTTTTTTGTTTGACAAAAAAAGACTCGGAGGTTTTTCTTGAACGTAGTCGGAGTATTAATTATTTAACTAATTTTTTTTTTCTATTCGGATGAACACCGGGTTCGGATGCGATAGGTTTTTTTTTTTTGGGCCACCTCTCACTCTCGGAACAAAAAAAATATCAACACACGCAACACAATTTGCCAATTTGTAATGTAAATTGCCAAATAATTACGGAAATGCGCCGTGCCTGGGTCGCGAGTAATTAATTTTGGACTCTGGAAATGTGGGAGAAATTGAAACCTTGCGAAAATGGCTGGAGGGCACAAATTTCACTTAATCGCGGATTTTCAAATATGGCACTTGAGCGGAGTGGTGGAATGCGGTAATTTAATTATTTTATTTTGTTGAATGTGTGTATGTATGTATATAGTTGGGAGCCAACTATGCCAGTAAATGTAATAAATAAATAAATAAAATAAATAATAAATTTAATTAAGAAAATAGAGGAGTGGATGGATACTT